AGTAAAAAGACCAGACTTAATGGTTTGACTGAGACTGGAGGGACCCCAGAAGACATCGCCCCCGAACTCTGTGTTATTCTGTTAGCCCAAAACTAAAATCATTCCCAAGGCCAACTCTTCAGACAAAGATTAGACTGGACTATGGGACATAAAATGATACTTGTGAAGAATGTACTTCTTAGCTCAAGTAGATACATGAGACTAAATGGGCAGCTCCTGTCTGGAGGTGAGATGAGAAGGCAGAGAGGGTCAGAAGCTGGTTGAATGGACATGGGAAATCCAGGGTGGAAAGGAGGAGTGTTCTATCACAGCATAGGGAGAGCAACTAGGGTCACATAACAATGTGTGTATAAAATTTTTGTATGAGAGACTAACTTGAATTGTAAACTTTCACTTAAAGCACAACAATTAAAAAAAAAAAAACCAGTCCTCCTCAGGACCACTACAGCTCATTATGAGTATATCTGTCAATTATGTTTAGTCTACCTTACATATAATATAAAATACTGTGTCAGGAAACACATAGCCTAAATTATCTTCTCGATGTAACAGCAGCATTCATTCAAAAGAACAAGTGTTCATGTATGTATGCATACATGCATGTGTGTATTCTTAAATAAAACAAAGATACAAAGGTATAAAACCTATAGAAATATCTAAATGTGCCACTGTACAATCTAAACATAAGAAATTCATCACAGATAAAATATATTTCATTTCTGCACCTTTGATGTGTACAGCTTAACCAGAAGAAGACTGTTAAATAAGCGAGGATGAGCTGGCTACTGATGTGCTAGCAATTTAAGTCTTTCTCTAGAAGCAGAAAACTCTAGCATCATTCACGTCACACATATTGACCACTCATGGGAACCAACCTGTGCTAAGTGCTGATTCATCCCATTCCTCTGGCCTTTGCCTTTTTTTTAATATAAATACAATCTGATTCAATAAAAGAAGCAGTCACAACATCTTGAAAAGCTGTGTGCTATATATTCTTCTTTGGCAAGGTATAAATGCCGGAACGAATGAGAACAAGCTAACACACTGTACCTCACAGGGCTGCTAGGAGGATTAAAGGTGATGAAGCACACGAAGTGCTGGGACAAAGCCTGGCACACAGAGTGCTGTGTACCCACTCTGCTGGGGTCAGGGTTGTTAGTATTATTCACATGATACTTAATTACTCTGTATCCTATTACCAATTCAGGGTATCGAAGAGATTACTATGTAGCAGTATAGTCTACAGAAGGAACACTGGATTAGAGATATGAATAGTCAGACTATTCTACATGATAGCTGAATAAAAGTGAGCAAATTCTTTGAACATGTTCCGTGAAACCTTTTTTGTAAAATGAGGGATAACATCTAACTTACACGCTGTGATAAACATTGTACTAAGGAGATCATGAATGGGAAGATACTTTTCAAACCAGGAAAAAAAAAAACCTATCTATCTGTCTATATATAGAGATATGTAAGGTATTATTATTTTTTGACGAACAAATGCAGGTATAAAAACCCCAAAACAAACCCAATGCCATGGAGTCGATTCTGACTCATGGAGACCTCATTTGTTACAGAGTAGAACTATGCGCCATAGGATTTTTTTGGCTGTAGTCTTTACAGAAGCAGTTCACCAGACCTTTCTTCCGCAGAACTGCTGGGTGAGTTTGAACCACCAACCTTTGGGTTAGCAGCCAATCATAAACTGCTCGAGTCACCCACGGACCTAATGCAAGTAGACAGATGTTTTAAAAACCAAAACAGAATTCTCCTTTATGTACGGTCACACATCATACCCCCGATTCCTGGACCATATATAATCCGGAAGTTTAAATGCCTGTCTTGTGAAAAAAAATTTTCTGTAGCTACTGTAATACTTGTTTAGTAAAACTAAATAACTTTTCCGAGTACATACTTACCTTTACTATGGTTTTAGGGCGTTTTTTAAAAAATAATTTTGGCTTCTCAACCACAGGAAGAGGTGGAAGTTTTCTAAGCTCCTGTAAGACAGTGGTTGCGGCACGTTTCTTGGAGAGTTTTTTGCTATTTCCCTCTCCTTCTGCAGAGAATTCCCCCACCGACACCCGAGTGACAAAGCTTTTCATATGGGGAGGTCCGCTCTCTTTAACAACCTAGTAAATGAAAAGGAAATATTAAGTAATGTACAGGCACTTAAGATGTATTCTTATAGCATTTTTCATAATATTCATGACAATCAAAATTGAAATTATTAACAGTGATGCCAAAATAATAATATTTCTTTAGGAAAGCTATTATGAAGGTACTGTATAGGAACTATTCATTAATGATACTTATGATAGTTAATAAACAGAAGGTGAAAGAACAGAAATCTAAATAAACACATTCAATTCATAGTCACAATTGTTTTTCTGTTACTTTAAAGCAGGTATTTCTAATTATGGTTATCCAGCTGCTTATGGAGAACAAAGTACATAAAACATGCCATATTAGACTAGGTACATAGACCATCTGGAACAGTAATTTGTATATAATTGTGTACCTATCTAATTTTCTCATAATAAGTTATTAGAGGGCAAGGACTATGCCTTATTGTAGTTCTATAGCCTATAAAGTATCCTGCATGTGGTAGCCTCTCAAAAACAGCTGATGAATGAAAAATAACCTCCTTTATTGTTTTGCCTACTCATTCACTTTATTTCAAATAACAAATCGACAAATTCTGGAAAAGAATGTAATAAAAATATGCGTGGACCCTTGTCAATTAACACTTCCTGAGAGCTTCCGCCACCTGATTGGTGCAACAGTCCGGTGCTGCACCTGCTTCAGTCCAAGCTGCTTTCAGGGTCCCTTACACGGTTCCGGGCTCCCTCACGCGGTTCCGGGCTCCCTCACGCGGTTCCGGGCTCCCTCACGCGGTTCCGGGCTCCCTCACGCGGTTCCGGGCTCCCTTACGCGGTTCCGGGCTCCCTCACACAGTTCCGGGGTCCCTTACGTGGTTCCAGGGTCCCTTACATCATTCCCACTTGTTATGCTTGCCTCATAAGTTGTCTGAAGTTGTCAGACTAGCATAGTGGTGAACTTTTCATGGAAGATTAAAGTTTCTTTTGTTGTTGTTTTTCTAAATTTTATTTGTTTTGTTGTTGTTGAGAATATACACAGCAAAACATACACCAACAGTTTCTACACGTCCAGTTTAGTGACACTGATGACTCTTCGAGTTGTGCAACCATTCTCACTCTCTTCTTCTGAGTTGTTCCTCCCTCATTAATATAAACTCACTGCCTCCTAAGGTTCCTATCTTTCGAGTTGCAGTTGTTAATTTGATCCCGTACAGATAGTTCTAGAAATAGCACAATGCTCAAGGTAGACTTTTTTTACTAGTTAAGCTTAACTGCTGCTCAGTTTTAAGATGACCTCAGGGGATATTTTTGGTTCAAGGTTTAGAGATTATCTCAAAGCAATCGTTTCAGGGGTTCATCCATGCTCCATTGCTCCAGAAAGTCTAGAGTTCATGAGAATTTGAAATTCTCTTCTGCAGAAAAATACCCTATTTTTGATGGATACCTCAGAGGCTATTTTATAGAGATGCTTACTCTCTGTGACACGATGTTAAAAGTATAAGTCGATACGCCATAAAAACACCTAGCTTTCTACAGTAATGAATTATGACTATGTCAGTTAGGCATAAAATGCTGTTTAATGTGCTTTTACTATTAAAACTATGCCAGTTTTTGGAGGAAAGATGCTTTACAAAACCTGAGAGCTCAAAACCTCAGTCTCCTTCAAAATTCTGACTATAAGAGACACCCTAATCTAGTTAAACCGTTTACTACGGAATATGGTATTAAAGTTTTTTCTTTAATATTTGGACACCAATTAGGAAAAGAAAAGAAAAACAAAGCAATATTTCAATAATCCAGAACTATCAGGAATAAGTAATTTATAATAAACATATTTTCCAAGTAATTTAGGTTTACTACTTTAAACATAAAACTGTTTAACTACTTTGATAAACATTCTCCTCAATCAAAAAAAAAGTAACACTTTTTACTAACTTAATGGAGGATACTAAATACGTAACATTTTACTGCTCACATTAAAAAAAAAAAACCACTGCTGTTGAGCAACCCTATTAGATCATCATTATGAACATCAAATATCCTACACAATATTGATGCTCCTGAGAATTCACAGACTCATAAAACTGTCTGTTCCTACAGCTGTATCCTTTAAAAGGCCCCACATTCCAGTAATTTTTTAGTGTGTACAATTACTTTTGATAGAGTTTGCACATTTTCCCTATTATTTCTTGTGGGATCAGTAGGCCTTCAACTACATTTTCTCCATGACTTTTTCACTTTGCTGCTTTTTAATCGGCTGCTGCTGCTCCTGCTGTTAGTTACCATCAAGTTGATTCCGATTCATGGTGACCCCAGGTGTGCACAGTAGGACTACTCCACAGGTTTTCAAGGATGTGACCTTTTGGAAGCAGACAGACAGGCTTGTCTTCCGAGGCACCTCTGGGTGGGTTCAAATTGCAAACCTTTCAGCTAACAGTCAAGCGGTTAACCATTTGCACAACCTTACGCGTTGCCTTCGAGTCGATTCCAACTCATAGCGACCCTACAGGACAGAGTAGAACTGCCCCATAGGGTTTCCAAGGAGCCGCTGGTGGATTTGAACTGCTGACCTTTTGGTTAGCAGCCAAGATCATTGCAAATCCACCAGCGGCTCCTTGGAAACCCTATGGGGCAATTCTACTCTGTCCTATAGGGTCACTATGCGTCAGAATCAACTCAGCGGCAATGGGTTTGGTTTTTGTGTTTTAGGGACTCCTTTAATCTGCTATGGGCTAAGAAATCAGACAATCCAGCTGGTTAGAACTGTGTCCGAGGAGACAGCAAGCAGGTTCCCGTGAAGGTCAGGGGATCCTGCCAGTGAGTAAAATGTGCGAGCCGTCTAGTAGGTGAAGGTCAGACCAGATGAAGGAGGATACTTCCAGGCTGTTGAAGCTTATCTCCCGGTTCTGGCCTACCTCCCAGATACGTGGATTGCAAAAGCACTGACCTCTTAATAAGGGAGGTATTTTAATATTTTAAAATATAGTGCGCTTACAAAAATACCTCATGCGGGAGGGCACAGTTGGTAAACACAGAAGGTATGCATTATTTATGGAAAAAGACAGTGTATCATTTCATGAGAACGGGTCTGACCACAGAGAAGTACATGATCTCTTTCAGGATACTAGTCTACCAGTTAAATCTTATTGGTTTAAAACAACCAGGGGCAGGGGGAAATACTGGAAGGTCTCCACTGAGCACATACCTCAAAACTGACAGGCATATTGCGCTTCAGAGCAATTTCAAACACTAAGCTGATCTCAGATTTATTTGCATCTTTGTCATCATCCATTTCTTTTCTTGATTCTCCATTCTAAATCACAAAAAAAAAAAAAAGATGACACTGAAACATCACTTTGCAACGAACTTTACATATATTCTGCAATCAGGAGGGTCTACCTCAAATACAGTAAGAACTAGCAAATTGCAGCCCATGTCTAGTGGATTCCTGTGTAATCACAGGACTCAAGGGATTGGCTGCCAGGCTTTTTGTGATTTGGTTTTTAGGTTTTTTTCCTCAGGTAGAAGCATAAACGCTGAGTTTAGAAATGTTTCCACTCAACCCTACACTAATTTGAATTTCTCCAATGCTCCTACATCCAGTCTCTCATTTTACAGATCTCTGTCCTCTCCATACGACACTCCTCTGGAATTGTAATAGGATACGCCATCTTCTACGAAGACTAAGCTGTAGAAGTGTACAGAATGCAAACCAGGATGCTAGTGCTCAGTGTCTGCCTCTGGCACCAATTCACTTATTCACCACATACTTCTCGAGGGCCTCGCGTGTGCTGAACGTAGTGCAAGTTATTAGAGATAAGGAGTTAAAGAGACAGTGTCTCTGCGTTCAAGAAGTTTACAGTCTAGTGGGGAAAACAGATAAGCAGATAAAAGTTATTATGAAACTCTACAAAGAGAAAAACACCTAAGTCTGCCACTAAACCAAAAAAATCAAACCCACTGCCGTCGAGTTGATTCCGACTTTAGCAACACTATAGGACAGAGTAGAACTGCCCCATAGGGTTTCCAAAGGGTGCCTGGTGGATTCGAACTGCCGATCTTTTGGTTAGCAGCCACAGCTGTCAACCACTATGCCAGCAGGGTTTCCAGTTGGCCACTAGCTAAGATAAATCTCAAAAAAGGAGGAGGAACAAAAGGTTTAGGGCAAGAGGAATCACAGATGTTGAAATACTAAGTAGAGAATACAATAGAAGGTGAATATACTATAGGACATGCCTGAGCTAGAGATACTATTTGAAGTCAATAGAGAAAGTACCTGAAGCTGTGTGATTACTCAAAAATAGCCTGAATTTCCTCATTTGTAAAATAAAGTAGGACTGGAAAACTCATAAAGATCTCCTAACCCTTTAAAATCCTTGATTCTAGAGTAACACAACATAATCCACCTTCAATAAATGTAGCATTAAATGCAAGGGAAATGAATGTTACTTCTCATCCTTGTACATGTTCTAGAATCTTGAGTTGCCTGGGAAGTGAACTCCATAGGTGACCCAAAGCTCTGAAAGGTAAGGCAATCTTGGCAGGTACATGAGTCCAGTACAGTAGACAGGCAGCCTGAGAAGTAAGTCATAACCGATCCCCACTCTAGTCTTCTTCCCCTTAGAAGAGATTGTTTCTCCTTTATTCGTAAAAAGGCTTTTATTTGTCTTCTCAACAATCTCACTGAGGGGCAACAACAAAGAGGTAGTCACATGTGGCCACACCACACCTGTGATGACTTTTCTGGGATCGGTTCATTCTGTAGTGCTTGGAGAGCTTTCATCGCAGCATTGTGTCTCGCAGCTTGTCGAGTCTTTCCTTCCCCAAAAAATTCATTATTTCCTACAGTCAGCTGAACGTAAAAGATTTTAGGCATTGGGCAATGATACCTAAAAGAAGAAAATAAACACTGTGAGGTCAGTGAAACCACTCTATACTCATTAATAAAATGTGTTTTGTTTAAAATGATACAAACTACATAATGCAGGTTCTATGCCCTCTTATTAACCCTAATAAAGTTTTAACCTTATGAAGGTATTAATAAAAGATAAAACGGCAATATATTTATAGATAACGAAGAGTATACATTGGTCTCCATGAAAAACATAGTACAGAAAAAAAAAATGGCACCAATTGATTATTAATTGATAACTATCAATTATCAATTAATTGATTATATCACAGACAACTTCCTGCAGAAAAATTTTCAGTCAGATTTTGACAGAAGTGCACCAAATGGCCTGGGGCTGATGGATGGATACAGGGGATGGAGACAGGCAAGATATTCAGGGAACACCACACAGACTGTTGTGCTTTTAGCAGAAGGTAGTTTCAATCAGAAATGGGAAAGCAGCAGAGAGATGGAGTTACTTTGATCCAAGGCATTAAGGGGATCAGATTCAATGCAACAAATAATAATGAGTGTAAGCCAACTCTTAAGCAGAAAGTATCATAACAAATAATGAATAAAAAATGTAATTTAGGTGAAAATTTTTAATGGGACTGGGGTAAGGAGATATGATTAGAAAGCTGTAATAATGCAGACATGAGGGGACAGACGTGGCTGTAAGAGCAAAGAACAAACCTAGATGAAATTAAAGAAGAAAAAATTAAGAGGGCATGTAATAAAACTCATTAACAGTTATATATCAAATGCCTTCTATATGACAGCAGGACATGACAATGAACAAAATAACAAAATTCTTTGCTGCTTTGGAGCTTACATTATAGTGGGGAAGACAGACAGTAACAAAGATTAATACGTAAAATATCTGGTATGTTAGAGACATATAGTAAAAAAGAAAAAAATACACAGAGGGAAGGGTTCAGAGGTGTCAGGGAGGGAGAAGAATATTACAGTTTTAGATAGTGTGGACAGGGAAAGTCTCATTCAGAAGACAACAATTGTGTAAAGAGCTAGAATACGTGAGGGGGCAAATGCTGCAGATACCTGAGAGACTGCATGTGAAGCAGAGAAAACCAAGAGCAAAGGCCCTGAGGCAAGAGAGTGCTGTGCATGTTCAAGTAACTAAGAGGAAGCCAGTCTGGCTGGGGTTGAGTGAGTGAGGGAAAGAAAGCTAGGAGATGAGAAGTTAGAGGTGGCCAGATTCCACAGAGCCTTCCTCAGAAATCATTACAAGGATCTGACTTTTACTCTGAGTGAAATGGCCGGCCACTGGAAGGCTCTGAGCAGAGAAGTGACATGATTTGGCTTACGTTTTAGGAGGACCATCTGACTTGTATGTTGAGAACAGACTGAGGGGGACAATGGTAAATGCAGGAAAATGCATTAAGTGGCCAATGCAATCATCCAGAGGAAAGGTGATGGTGGCCTGGGCTAGGGTGGTAGCAGAGGAAATGATGAGAAGTAGTCGGATTCTGGATGGATTTTGAAAGTAGAGCTGATGGGGTTTAGCCAAGGACTAGAGAAAAAAGAGTCAAGGATGACCCCCAGTATTTCTGACTTGAGCAGTCAGAGGATGGGAGACAGTGAAGACTGCAATAAGGAATGTGTTTATGGCGGGGGGTGGGGAGGATACCAGCAACTCCATTTCAGAGTTGTTAAATTATTAGGCCTATTAGATTTCCAAGTAGAGATGTCAAGTGGCAGGAAAGAGGTCCAAGCAACATACAGAATGGTAAAAATTTAAAGGCACAACACTGAATAAGAGCTCTGTGGAAGGAAGTGACAGAAGGAGAACCAGACAGGCATGGTGTCCTTCCTGAAAGCAAAGCAAGATGAAAAAAATTACACCAAGGAAGAGGGAGGAATCAATTGTGTCAGACGCTGCTCACAGGTCTAGTAAAGGATGACTGAGAAATGAACACTGGATTTAGCAAGTCAGCAAAACTAATAGGAACAATTTTGATGGAATGGTGGATTTACAAGTATAATGCTGAAAAATTAAGTTCAAAATCACTCCAGTGCTGGAAAGTGTCTATTTCCAAGCAAAAAATAGTCCAATCAAGGTCCTACTGAGTTTTAGATGATTACTGGACATCCAAGTAAAGTGTTCTATAATCAACTTGAGAGAAACTGGACAGCCCATCAAACGAGAATTCACCAGGCAGATGGGACTAATCAGTGAAGGTTTACTGAGGTGAAGGACTAGAGATGTGAGTGGGAGTGAAGATGCAGACTTGGGAGGCAGTAATTGAAAGCATGTGAGTGGATAAGCACCTGGAAAGGGTAAGTGTAGAGGAACCAAAAAAGAGAGCCGAAGACTGGAATCTGATTGATGCCCGTGATCAAAGGGCAGGGGAAATAATAGACGGCAGTGAAGGAGATGAAAGAGAGCTCCGAGCTAGGAAAGAAACTACAACCCAAGGTCGGGGAAGGGGTGATGAGCAGTGCCAAATGCAGCACAGAAAGCAAGAACAGGACAAGAAAAAGCTGCTGTTTTAAATTCTTAACCTAATTTTCTTGGCCGACAGTTTTCTATCATTTTGCTTTAAGATAAAGTGTTGTAAATGTGTTTTTATTATATAAGTCGCGTGTTCTCATTTTTCAGTTAGAAAATACAGAAAAGTGAAAAGAAAAAAATCACTTACAGCGAGACGTTTTAACATGTAAAGAGTAAAACGCATTAAAAACCATAATCTTTTTTGCCCTTTGATTACAATAACTAAAAAGTACACAGAAGTGCACAATTTTTTATTATCTATTTTTACCTTCGATCCCTTTAATGCAGAAATTTTGACAGAGTAATATGAGTAATGTAAATTACCTTCATTTGATATCCCACAATATTCAGTTTTTTTACCTCTATGGAATTCTATGCATATTTTAAACTGGGTCCACTATAAAACTTTAAAACAGACAACTTGAAATCAGAAATTTACTCCTGGACTGAGATCTTATGGGGCAAGCTTTTACCATAGAGCAAATGTTTACAATTAATTATAAACTTTTGAAAACAGAGGTGAACAACTGGAATGCTAACAGACCCCTAACTGCAGTGGAGGGAGTGGGCGCCACTGTAATCACTAAGGCCTGCTGACAATCACAAAACTCATTTTGGTTTGCCACAGAGACAAACAAAATTCCTGTTCATTATAATTTTACTGGACTATGATGTCATAACACATAGCCATACTGAAACAATCTGCTGATTTTCTAACCAAAATATTAATTGCACACTAAAGAGCCCTTGGGGCCTCTTCCTTTTTGGTCATCAAATACAGCTCTGTGTATGTGTATGTGCGTGCATGTGCATATATATGCATGTATAAATTATAACATAATAACATTAGAGGGAAAAATAGGAATCTTGTGTTTTTAACATAAAAAGTGAAACACAGGAAATACTGAGACCGGATGCCTGACTTGTTTCATTCCAGTTTCACTTCATCCTCTTACCTAACAATGGTTCATAATAATATATCCCGCGAGGTTTGAATACCTTATATATCATATCTCCTCATACCATCATGACAATTAAGATTAACCAGAGCACTCTCGTTAATGGTACCCTGAATGAACTACAGGAGAGACGCCTGGAATGTTTTTTGTGTTCGGTCCTGGTCTTTAAGTATTTATTTCCTTTGGTAAAGAAACACCCAAAGTTTATTAACTTAAAAGTTGATATGTTCTGTTTAATAGAGTTGCCTTTTCTGTTTTTGTTTATTCCAAACAATAAGCTTATTTCTGATATGGTACTTATAAGTGATATACATATTTCTACAAATTAGTATATAGTTATCTTACATTGTTATTCTTGAATGACTTCTCTCAATTAGAATTTTGTGGTTAATGCTTAGCTCTCCATCCTGATTATTGTCAGAAGATGAACTGTGAAAATTCACCTACCCAGTCTTTTTAAGTTTGGGTCAAATGGCTTCTACTTACAGACTCCAAAAGTCTACTGTTTACAAAGCGTGACCCCACTTACATCAGATTCATCTTTAGTGCTTGTTAAAAACGCAGATTCATGTGCTCCAACCCTGACCTACTAAATCAGGGTCTCTGCGAACAGAACAAGAATCTTCACTTTAACAAATTCCCCTGGTGAGATTTTGCACAGTAAAAGTCTGAGAGCCACTGTTTCCCAGTATCATCGCCACATCCACAATATGGCTCATACGACACAGCAATGACCACAAACTTTATTTAATAAAGGAATCACATACCCTCCTTAGAGCACCACAGTCAGGTCATTTATATCTCTGTCTCTTTTAATCCTCGCAGTAACCTGGTGAGACAGATGTCCCCAGGGTTACCTTAAGAAGTAACAAATCTCTCCAACAAAGTTGATGGGAGTCAAAAAAATGCTATGTTTTTATGGCAGATCAAACCAAGCAAGATCAAAAATGGATATATCTGAGTGGCCCACCAGAGTGAAAACTCAGAATACTGAGCATTATGGGCAACACTGCCCAATAGTCTAAACTTTACGAAGTCGGCTGGTAAGGTCTTTTTTTGTTTGTTTTTTCCATGCCCCTCTGCCCTCTATACACTCTAAGTCTTGCAAAAAATAAAATTTTAAATAAAATAATAAAAGAAAATCTTTCCTTTCTTTGACTCAACCCCTCAAAAATCTAAAGATTTGGCCTATCTTCAAGACAACATTAGTGAATATAAATTAAAGATGCACAGATCAATGGTCAACTGATTTTTGACAAAGGTGCTAAGCCTATTCAATGGGGAAAGAATCTCTTCAATAAATGGTGTTGAGAAAATTGGATTTCCACATGCAGAAAAATGAAACAGGATCCATGCCTCACACCACAGACAAAAACAAATTCAAAATGGATTAAGGACCTAAATGTGAGAACTAAAACCATAAAATACTTAGAAGAAAATTCAGGGGCAATGCTGTCAGGCCCAGCTTTTAACAATGGATGATCTATAACAACAAAAGCACAAACAGCAAAAGACAAAATAAATAAA